ACACTTGCATTGTCGCTGGCTTTGATGTTTTAAACCTGGAGCAAATTCAGCGTTACACCTTTAGCAACAGTGGTAATTTTAACGAACTACCGCGCTTCCCCTGCTTTCTAGTTTCTAATTATAATCATATGTTTATTTTCACTAATTAAAAAGTTATTTAACAAATTTTAGTTAATTATCCAAGTTGTCAGGACAATTATTCTTTTATCTTCAATCCCCCTGGCCTCGTGATCCACCCGCACAAACAGGTTAGTGTAGCTTTGACGGTTTTTATAAAACAAATCTCTAAAACAAACAAGAACTAAAAAAATAATTAAATATAAAAAACACCATATTTTTTTTATTGACGCCTTGAATTTATGTTAATTTTTATACACAAATTAATCTAATCTTATAAACAGGACGGTGCACACACGGTAGTATGTTGTAACATAAAATTTACAGGACATTTATTTATTTATTTATTTGTACATACTGCTGGCCCGTGGGGCCGTGGCAGGGAAGAACAAACACACACACACACACACAAAAAGAATATGACTCATACCTCCAACAGAGCTACGAACAATAAAGTAATTACAAGTTTAATGCACCGCCTCTTAAACGTCTTCGTTGCATTGCGTTGTGATTTGGCTGTGAGTGCTCCAAACTACTGTCTAAGGTAAAAAACTTACGCTGGAGGTGGAGCTTCTACAGCATATCTGAAGTTGCGACAAACTATAGCGCCGTGTTTGTCTTCCGTCTTCTACTCTGTCCGCGTCCCTGCGTTGTTTCTTACCAGCTAAAATAGATCATCCTGGCGTAGCAAACAATTCGTTACAAGGTGCGAGGTTACCGCCATTCTCGAATTCTCGTCATCAACGTAGACGCTGGGCGGTTCAGCAATCTCGTTAAAAAAATTGAAGGCCCGTTGCTGCGTATCAAACCTGACTCTCGCTGAAAGAACCTCTGCAGGGCAAAAGCTGGAAGGATAAGGTGCGGCACGTTCAGGACATATTAAAGTTCTATATCTATATTATGTAAGTTCAGAAGTATGTGCAAGTTAGAAAGAACAGAAAAAAACCCAAAGAAAGAAGTCCCGCGTTAATCCACAGTAGTGTCACAGCGATAGCTGCGACGTGTCACGCGGTGAAATCGTTGGGCTTGAGCATCGTTGTCACGTTCACGTACCTCGGGATTTTCATGGCGAAGTCTCATCTTGGCTTCGTTCTCACGAGCACGCACCTCACTGTTTTACATGCGACGAACAGCGAGTAGCGTCAGCGTCGCCGCAAGCGCGCCTTTCAGCGTTTCGCAAAAAGCGCGACGCTAGCACGCGGCCACGCTAAGACGCATGATTTAGCCGATTTGCGCCGTATACTCACGTCATAAGCTTCAACGCGTTGGCACTTTGGGTCTGCTCAGAGATCCACTAACGACGATGCAATGCGCAAGCCGGCCTTCTCGGTGGTTTTTGATGGATGAATACAGCTGTACCCTTTTGGTTGGGCGGCGGCTCGGGCCACCCAGCCGAAGCTTTGGATTTCAACAATTAAGTTCGATTAAACGTTGAATTAAGAATTACGATGATTTTTGATTGCGACGTCACGGTAATTGTGGACATCTAAACGGCACTATACTAGACACATGGGCCATTGTTTTCCCATAAATAACGTATATGAAGAGGATTATTAAAGCAGCAGGGCAGACCGAAGATCGAATCTCGACAGGGCCATGCAATGTTTTTGAAGCAGCTGGATATATGGACAACGGACGCCTTACGCCCTACCACGACAACTTCAACAACTACAAGGACCACGGCAAGTGACGCCATTTCCAATGATGGGAAGAGCCCTTCAAGGGTTTCTCCGGCGTCTTCTTCATGGTCCCCGATTTGTCTGAAAATTTGCTAAACACAGTAACGAAAATCGCTGAAACAGCACCCTAATGCTAAGCCAAAACAATTTTTCTCGCAATGTTATTGAATTTGAAGTATTGGTCTTCACCGTAATTTTCAAACTGAAAGTATTTACTGGCAAAAATGAAGGAATGGCGCCAGCGGCAGGCAGTGGCTGTAGAATTTGTTCCTAACTGGTTACAAGCAGTTTCAAGGAGTCCAATGAATGCTTTCAAAGCGTTCTCTCGCACCCGCGGAGCAACACCAAGCAAATAATAGGCATAGACCATTTTCCAGAATGGGTTCTCAACTGGCAAGCCTGCCTACCACTGACGTCATGGCACCGAAAAGCGAGGGTATATTTGAATGTTGGTTTTGGCCTCATATTGACTTGACGATTTCAAAATCACTATTTTGAATTGCGCGATACTAAACAGCATTACGGAAAGAGTCAGAGGAGGGTATTCGGAAAATATAGTTAGTTTAGATCGCTCTAAACATCGCCGTAGTACCCCACATCTTGAACGGCTATCGCCGAAACAAAAAGTCCGGTTCTTCGCGGAAGTTAGCTATTTTCGATCTTTAGGTGGTAAATTGCTTAATGTACTTTTGTGAACGCCTAATATCAAATTTTCCTGTTTTCTTTAAACGGGCATGTTTTTAATGTCAAAGCATTGTTTCTTTTTTTCTGAGCACCACACCTTGTACGAACCAGTTTACGCAGCGCTAGAACAATGCTCAGCACTTACTTTATCTTGACGTGACGACGAGCTTAGGAAATAACGCAGTGCTCCGGATAAGTACGAGCGTGCAAAAAAGGTTAAAAGTTAACATGAACGCGCAACAAAAACAAAAGACCAACAAATATATTTTTTTTGTGCGTCCGGCTTTTGCAATGCAGATGCAAATTAAATTATTTGATGTTGCCAACATGATCGTGATTGCCATTGACTATGTTTACAAACCGGAGTAAATAGAGTGCAGTTAAAACCTTCTTCCTTCAAAGGATACAAAAATTATATATGCCTCTTTATTGCTGAAGCATTGCGCCAGCAATAATTCTTTCGATATTAAACAATTAATAAATCATGCAAATAATGTACTCGATAAATTAAACCAATGGACCCTGTTGAATTCACTAGCTATTAACAAGTCGAAAACAAAGGCTGTAATTCTCAGACCTAAAATCAGAAAGAAAATATTGAGAACCCCCTCATGATAGGGAAATCTACTGTTGATATTGTGCCCTCAGCTAAAAGACTAGGAGTTTTAAATTTAAAGAACACTTATTTTGGAGCAAACATATTGAAATAATTGCTAATGAACTCTCTGGCGTCGTAGGTATTCTTACAAATTTGCGGTTTTCTCTACCCACTAATATAAAACCGCTTATTTACAATTCCCTGTGTGTTTCTTTCTCACCTCAACTACAGCCACCTAGTTTGGGGGAACACAACCACGTCAAACCTTACTAAACCTTTTTTTACTACAGAAAAAAAGACGTGCGCGCTATCTCTGGTTCCCCTTAAGATGCACATACCGAACCACTTTTTAAATGTCTTAATGTATGTCCGTTTCAGTTTTTATATAATGATATACAACTTATGAGGTATCATGCCGGCAAAAAACAAAATAACAACAACATTGAACAATTATCTAGATTAACAAGAAACACTAACATTTATAACACACGTTACAATGAAACATGGATCAATCCTCATGCACGCAAGAATAGCGGAAATCAATCTTTATGTTACACATTACCAATTTTACTGAATTCGCTTGATAATTAGAAATGAAAAAAAAAATAAGTGTTTGATCTTCCATACAGTTTATATATCTATATCTATAGTTGTCACCTTGTATATCTTCGCGCAGATTAATTGTTTAATGTGTAGTAAGTGATGCTGATGTTGCATTTCTCGTTTGTTATTGTATATTATTACCAGTGCTGTTGCCAAATCTTTTTTTGCTTGTTTTTTGGCATTACAATGAGACTATGCATATGTACAAGAGGCTCAGACCCAGTCGAGCCGCACCCTTGCGGATTTTTGTCTGAGCTCCATACATCATTTGTTTAGTACTTTGTACTTGGTGATGTTAAATAAACTTTGATCTGAATATTGTAGAGCACGACGAAAATAATCCCTGAACAATTGAAACAATGGGACAAAGCACAAGTTTGTTTTTGGTCCCCCTTGTTTCCCTTCTCCAGAAAATATTTTTTCCATCCTCGTCGAGCTCACTTGTGCTTTTGCATTAATTGCTTTATCATTGTAGAGCAGCTCACAGACACTTCATTACCTCGTCTAAGCCTTCAAATTTGTTTTAACGAATTTACCATAAGACAGGAGCTTACACGCGTTATCGGTTGAAGCTTTACTTCCGGTGCAATTTTTTCATCAGGATGATTTTTTATTGGCTGTTTATTGCTGCAGCGGCAAAGTTGTCTTGCCCGGAGAACAGCGGGGATTTGAGTAGGCAAAATAATCTAGGAGTCGTAGTTCTACTTCCTATAAAAAAACTCAGGAAGTGTGCAAAAATATTTTTTTTTGTTAGTGTTGATGAACTTAAGCGTTTATTCTTAGCTCTAGATAGCCGCAGTACAAAACAAACGTTTACATTGAAAAAAAAAAAACATATAAACTTATACGACTCATGTTCCATATTACCGAATAAAATACCCATATTATTTACATATTTTGTGATGAAGCACGAGTCAGTTTTATGTTTTGCAATGGTTGTCTACCATATATGTAAAATGTCTTTGCATCACACATAAATGACATTGTCTTCTTTCACTTGCCTTAAATAATTCTCAAATTAGTGATATCTCAAGAAGATAGATGTAGCACACAGCACCGACAATATGTGGTGTGTTTTTTGTGTATAATACGTGTACGATATAAGATAATGTCCTGAACCCCTTAAAATCAGGAGTGTCGCTATTACAACTATCTAATTTTAGATCTTGCTTGATAAGGGTCTTTCGTGTGGCAGTATGGAATACGGGTCGTTTGAGTGCGTATGGCTCTTTTGTTTTTAGCCGGAATGATTTTTGAACACGTAAATTGAACATAATCTTATAAGTATATTCTCATAAATAATGACCCATACCCATGAATGCAACGTAATGTTGTTTTTAATAGCATTGAAAATGATCACGTTCTGCCGATTTTCACAAAGGAAATATTCCAAAACTGTTCTGTTCACGGAGAGATGAAAACATCTTAGTGTGTTCATTAAAACCATCGGTCACATTGTTCTCCTAAGGTTAGCATCGATGGCAACATTGATTATATTGCTGCCCAAAAAGAAATCCATCGCCACTAGGTTCGCACACTGCCACCAGGTGTCTCTAAACCAGCCGGTGGCAGGAAAGTTGACCTGCTGTGCCAGCTTGCGGTTGCTCACGAGGTTCCGCGGAAACCGAGCCGTCATCTGCACCATCGATGACGTGGCAATGCCGAATGATGGCTCGCACACGCGGTTCTCTAAATAGGACCGCAGAGACGTCAAGTTGACCGCGTTCGCCCAGAGCTGTCTGACACCAGGGCTTAGGTAGTATGACCCCTGCCCAAAGTACGGAGCGTTGTAGCATACGATGACAGTCCGCCTCCTGCGAGCACCCCGGTTGACCGGTTGACACTGACCTAAGATGTCAGCCAGCTTAACTGCTGTGCCGTCACGTTCGAGCAGAAAATCTCCCAGCTCCTGCGTGATAAGAGTCACTAGTTTTTGATGATTCTCCACGCTGTTATTGTTTTTACTACTGAAGCCAGTCGTAAATCGATGAAAGTCTAGGAGGACAGGCTCTCCCGTGGCTTCCACAAACTGTCGCACCTGCTGAAGCACCTCTCGAACTGTGACCTGCCCTCGCACCAGGTCGTGGGTGATCCAAAACTCGCCGCGTTTCTCTTGAACCCTGAGATCTAATGACCTGATGCCATAGTACAGCTGATTGATGATGGGTTCCTCCTGGTTAAACAGAAAGTGATCTACCAAGGAGACGCTCTCCGGGGAGCTAACGTCGTACATGGCCGAATTGTGCGTTCCTGGTATAAAGAGCTGGGAAAAGCTTAGATGGCCCAGCTTTTGGCAGTGTTGCTGCATCCAGTGGGGTCGCGCCCTGATGCACGAGCTCGCCAACGGAACTTGGTTTGGACGGTTTGATAAGACCACCCAAAACCCCAGGCAAGCGTCCGTTGTCAGATTGGCCCAATTGAACCTGGGGAAGACCACAGATGTCTTTTGGGTTCCGCTGGGGCCAGTGACCTGGTGTGACTCAAGGACCGTCCAGGGTGTCTCTCTAGGGTCTCGGTCGATCAAGAAGATGTAGGCCTCCCGCCATATGTCGTGTGGCACGTTGTACCAGTTGAGTTCAAGCAGCCGCAGCTGCCTTCTTTCCACCACAGAGGACACCGAAATGTAGACGCCCCAGCGGTCTTGTTCGACTGAAATAAAAAAAGTGGAGCAGGATCTTGAGACGTGTCTTAACATGTCTTGTAACCCAAGAACGAACGTAAGGACATAAAATGCTTGGCAATCTCAAGGAAGGAAAACAAAACAGATTGATTACGTGTTATCAACGTTCTCCAGATGAAAGACAGGCGCACAGCCCAAAGGGATTTGTCAATCCCAGTGCCATGTGTTAGTTTACTTCATAAAACCTATGTTTTGTTTTTAATTCAACTGGAGGCCAAGTGGTGGCTTGGTAATCAAGGGTACTAGCAGATCACGTTTGCGTATTAAAACTATTCATTATCCGACGAGAATCGTACGCTTTTAGAATTGCAAGGAATAGCCAGTTTAAAATTGCTTTGCCAAAAAAAAAATCTGGTTGATTATAATATATTATCTCGTAATTTATAGAATTACAATGAGAGTAATACGTTTATAATTGATGCTGAGTGCGACAAGAGCATAGTTTTACATAAAACTTGCTTGTTTGTAACCGGTATGAAGTGGATATCAGCTTTGCTGGCGATAATGACCACTTAAATATTCTTGTACCTTGGGAATGTGGCGAATATTTTATATTCTGCCCCTACATATGCCCCCGATGACGTAGCCATTAAGAAGGGGTCCAGTACAATTTTTTGTTTTGTCTGCAGTATGTTGAATTTGGCTTTTACTTACGATTTTAGATCATGCTTGAACGCAGTGAACTTTCTCCATGCTATTTCAGCATTAGTGAAATACTGAACAGACAAATCACTCGTTTAGAACAAAAGATCTGACTTGTTATTACCCTTATGAAGACGCCAATTTTATTTTTAAATACGTCCTTGAAGAGTGTGTTAAAAGAAAAACAGCCATAAGGGCTTCATGTGTATTTTTTTTATTGAATTTGGCTTTTACTTACGATTTTAGATCATGCTTGAACGCAGTGAACTTTTTCCATGCTATTTCAGCATTAGTGAAATACTGAACAGACAAATCACTCGTTTAGAACAAAAGATCTGACTTGTTATTACCCTTATGAAGACGCCAATTTTATTTTTAAATACGTCCTTGAAGAGTGTGTTAAAAGAAAAACAGCCATAAGGGCTTCATGTGTATTTTTATTTTTTCTCAATTAAATTTTATACGAGGTAGCAAAACACACCTACAAAACGCATCCGGCAGCATTTTTCTATACAAATATATTGTTTGATTTATTTATATCATAAATTAGGTGACGACATTCGAAAATAGTAGGCGAATTACAAATGTAAACCAGCCGCCCCCTCGATCCCATCTGAATGCACCCAACTCCATAATATTTCATCAGCCTATCGTCCCACCCTCCCCACGCCGCATGTGAGAGCACGGTCGGGGCAGAAGCTTCCGCAAAGTCGCTCGTCCCTAGCGAGGTCTAGTGAAATTTATCAAGTTATTTTGTCTGCGAACTACTGACATTAAAATGCATTCCAAAAAAGAAGCATGATGAACCAAGTACTACCACGCAGTCAACCAAGTTAGGCAATCCAGTGGCGTAGCCTGGAAGGGGGGGGGGGGGGGGAGGGTGCTCATGGTGCTAAACCATCAGCACGAGCAAAAAAAAAAATCAGCCACCCTACTACTATAAACCATGTGTAGAAGTGGGTCAGTTGATTAGCACATGTTGAGTGAAAATATGCAGCGCGAAGAAACAGGATTGAAGAAGGAACGCACAAACATAGCGTTGACTGGCAGCTAAAGATTTCACTGTTGCGTGAAACAGGACGTAAACAAGAGTCGGGAAAGATAAAAACAAAACAATCAACCCGCTAACAAAAAAGAAAAAAAAAAGAAAACAAAAATACAGCATACCGACACGTGCTTGCACAAACTTGACGCACCCCTTCATAAAATACACCTGATCACCCGGGCCGCCAAGGGTTTATGGCCAGTTATGACGCAATTATATGTGTGCTAGCGCCTGGTCGGTGGCTTTGGCGGGTGAAAAGGTGGATTTTATCAAAGGGTGCGGCATGTGTAACTAAGTACGTGTCGGCATGCTGGGTGTGTTTTATCGGGGTAATGGGTTTGTTCCTATCTACCCCGTTTCCTGTTTACTTCCTGTTTCGCAGGGGAGTAAATATTTTCAGTCGCCAATCAGCGCTGTGTTCGTGTGCTCCTTCTAGTCTTCCGTTTTTTTTTTCGCGCTTTCTTGAGCCAGTTTTCGGAGGCCTTCTTTATGTAGCCCTTGTCCGCCCAAAATCAGAATATTCTTCTTTGATCTGCAGTCATTACCAATTTATTCTAGCAAACCTAAGTGAATCGGTTCAGAACGGAGCCTCTCGTTTCACTTTTTTTTTTATTTCTCACGTTGCTCCATTGTGTCTGCCATGAAAGATCAACTGAACATTCACAATCTTTCTATTCGTTGTAAACTATCCCGCATTTGTCTAGTACACAAAATGTATGACCACCCTGCCTTACATTAGTCACTGTTTCACCCTCTTAGTGACGTTTCTTGAATGTTTGATAACTCGTGCAAAATAGCCCGGCTAAAATGCAGCTCAAAGGCCTAGCTTTATTGTTACTTTATCGACGCCCTTGTCAGGTGGAACAACCTTCCGAACAAAAGACCAACTCATATTTACGAACAAACCCGAGCGCCCCTAGCAAATGCCACTGGTGCCGCGCGTGCGTGATGGAGTGTGGGCAATAAGGTCGTCGTCGGTCATGAACAAATTGCAGGAATGCGATGTTGTCGGCGTCGGTGTGACTCCTCGTTTTCTTTTTCGCGTTGGAATTGTTGATTGTACGTCTTCTTGGCAATGGATGACTACTTTAGCGACCTCGGCGAAATTAACGAGGCTCGTTACACCCGAACACTTCGCCTGAATAATCTCACATGTGGCGATTCATTCCCCGTGGACGCCGCTGAATGGACGCTAAAGCCTGACTCGCATGATGAAATTCTGCTTGGTATTTTCAGTAGCGACATCGCTCAGGGTGCGATATCGTGAACCGTAGCTGAGATGGTCAACGTCGACGCTGAAAATCGCAAGCAGAATCTGACCAAGTGAATCAAGCATAACAAATCGGTGATGGCCACTGATAACAATGATAAAGATCTCCCTGTATCAACTGCTTACACCGAGCCTACTGCCCCCAACCAACCTTTGAAGTTCAAAGCCTTTTGAGCCCTGCACTTACTCCTTATTCGAATTACCGTGTCAACGTTCGGTCTGTGAGATGCTGTCGTCTGAACGAGAAACAAAAAAAAAAAAGTTCTAAGGCATTCGGAGCATATTCTATTCGTGGATCGTCTGATGAAAAAACGAATACTTTAGGGACATCAGTCCTCGCACATAATTCTCGAATTTGTTTGGAATTATCTACCCTGCGAGAAATGTAGGAAAGGGTTATACACTATTTTGACTTATCTAGACCTGTTTCCCATAATAAAAATTGTGCAAAAACTTTAAACGTAGACATTTCCTTCTAAACTGCAAAGATTTCCATCCCAGTGTGCGCTTTATTTCTGAGGAGCTTTCCCTGAAGTTATAATTATCTGAAACAAATCTAGCCGCTTGGTTTCGAATCCTTTCGACTTTATTTTTACTTGTTTTCGTACGCGGGTCCCACACATAACACGCGTATTCTAAAATCGGTCGAACGTAAGAGAAATAAAGAGTCTCTTTTAAATCCGCAGAAATTTGCCGAAAGTTGCGACGGAGGAAATGTAACATGCCGCTAGCTTTAGAACATAAACCCGTGACGTGATTATTCCATCTCAAATCATGGGGCAACAGCACTCCAAGATATTTTGCCTCAGTAGCAAGATCTAAAGGCTGCTTACCTAGAAGAAAAACTGAATGAATTACTTTACGTTTTCTTGTAAACCTAACATGGTTACATTTGGATGTATTAAGAAACATCTTCCATCTGTCGGACCACCCTGAAAGGCTATCTATTTCATTTGGATGTAACAGCATAGACAAGTAAACAATGATGTAGTCTAGAATGAAGAGTAGAAAAGTAAAGCTCACGCTTTAGCCATGTGAGCAGTAATGTTCTAAATCTATTCAGCATATCGATGGACAGGCGCAATATTACGTTTCACGGGTCTTACATGTGAAGTCCAACGAAGATTTTCATGGAACTGTACACCTAAGAACTTGCATTCGGAAACCCGTTCTAAAGATCGTGACTGAAATTATAATTGACTGGTAAGATTTACTGGCCTGTTAATTGAAGCAAAAACAATATACTTTGTTCTATTAACATTCAGAAAAAGCTGATTGGCATCTATCCACTTCGATAAATTTTCACGCCACAGGTTTATAACAGGAAGTAGAGATGATAGGTTTTTGGACGAAAAAAACCCCCAAAGCATTGGTATCGTCAACATAGAGAACGATGTCTGGAGTATGAAGAAGGAAAGCAATTTCATTATTATAAAGAAGACACATTATAGGTCCTAATAGTGATCCCTGGGGACACCATAGGTTATATGATCAGTGTCTGATGCTATATTACTGGGTTTCACGAACTTGGTACGATTTGATAAATAACTGCGTAATAGTTTAAATGAAAGGCCTTTAATTTCGTAGTCTGGCAGCTTGTTAAAAAGTATATCATGTTTAATAGACTCGAAAGTTCGTTAAAGTCTAGAAATATACCTTGTCGTGTAGACCTTATTTTCTATGCTATAAATGAATGTTTCCTTAATGTTGAGCAGAGCAGATTTAGTGGATTTACCTCTCTCTCTCAGGAAGCCCTATTGATTCGCAGAGATTAATTGATATACCCACTATACTTCGATCAGAACCAGTCAGAGCTCGGCGTTCTGACGTCACCACGACCCTTGCAAAAGAAGCGGATGAACTTGCTAGCAATATCCGTTCCGTCAGCATCAGAGGCCTTCGTTTTGACACTTTCTTCATTTCCTTTCTTGCTGGGAACCGCTGCACGGGATGTACGAGGGCGATCAATGCAAAGAGCATTAGAAGGCGGCGTGCTGCGGGGTAGGACAATG